TTGTTTAAAGAACCTTCTCCTTCTTGCTGATGAGGCCAGGAGGTTGTGCGGTCACCTGTGGCACTGGGACAAGGACTGTGTCTCCGGGTCTTTGTTCTGCTCTGGAGAGCCCTTGAAGCTGGTTGCTCAAGGCATGTCCACTAGCTATGAGGCCAGCCAGAATTTCCTTGCTATGCAACATGCCGATTACTTGCTAGCTTCCCATGCAGAGCTTACGTGGTACAGAGGACTTTGTCTGAGCCTTCTACATCAAAAAGGAATTAAATTTCAATGCAAACACAGGTGGCAAAGTTGAGCCCTTAAGCCGACAGCAAAGTGTGTAACTTAATCTGGTGCTGCAGTAGACAAGCTATCCTTGTTAAATAGTTTAAATTTAGCTGGTTGAGCCCTTGAGAGATTATTTTTGGGAGACATTGTGTTTACATCTCTCCACTAATTGCATTATCTATTAATTCTACTGCTCAAGAGCACATGCCTAGACCTTGTACTTCCTTGCTAATTTGTCTCTGTGCTATATGAAGCAGAGACCCAAGGAAATTAGAAAATTGACTGTTTCTAGAAGTTCTCTTTATTAGTACTTTGAGCAGATCAGATCTGCTGAAACCTGGCTGACCTTTTCTTTGCTCTGGGTTTACAAACATAAAGAGGAAGTTTGTTTACTGCAGATGTGCAATTTGCTGGGTGCACTCACAAAGTCATCTGTCCAGCAGCCTGCACTCCCCTCACTGCTGCGGCACAGAAGGACTGTGCTGTTGAGTGGAAGGTATTCAAACTGTGGCAACAAGAAGCACAACTCTCCCTGCGCTCTTTGTCCCATACTGTAGTTCCCTTATGCAAAAATGCTTCTTGCAGGAGCAGTACAACACTGCTTTTCTTTTTTTTTTGCATATTTCTTTGTGGTTTTTTTTAACTTTCTGCCCTAGCAGGGAATCAAGCAGTCAAAATGTGAAGGCAGATGAGGATGTTATACACGTTCTTCAACCCTGCTGCCAGGGTAGTGCAAGCAAGGGCAGGTAGAGCTTGGACATTAGTTAATAATGAGAATTTAGTTATGAACTGACAAACTGTCATAGAATAGATATACAAGTGCTGTGGTCATGCTGCTGCTGCTCCGGCTTGTGTGGTATGGCTTTGGAAAATACACTATGTAGTGTTACATATTCATCTACTGTTTGGGAAATTTAACAGAATATACTGTCCCTGTTCAAGCCGCCTTGTTAAAACTAAGTTTGAATTCACAGTTAGACCTTTCCAGCCCCAATGAGAAAATATTCTGGATTACTGCACACCTTGGAAAATAGTAGTGCAACAGTAAAACCACCTCAAACTCCTCTGTAAGGCCTTAATTCTGCTTTTATTTTTAGCAGTACAATGAAAGCATAAATGTGCAGGGGGAAAGGGAAGATGGGGACAGAGTGTATGAGGGGAAAATGCTACTATGGTAAATATTCAATGAGTACAAGGAGGGAAGGAAGAAAGGACACTACTGCTTCAATATGGTATGCAACTCCAGAATCCACCTAAAATGCAGAGCAAATTTAAGGACAATGATGACAACAGCTACAAAAATCATTGGAGGGCTGGAGGGACAGTCTGTCAGTGACAAAATAACTCAGTCTATTTAACAAAAGAGGGTTGAGATGTAGTTTATATAAATTTTACAAGTATCTTCAAGTAATTTTTATTTGCCTCTATGTGACATGGTTTTTTCATGGAAAGCAAATTGCAATAGAGTAAATGAAGAAGATGAGAATGGAAAGCTTCATTCCTTTAAAACAATACTGTTCATTTTTACAGGAGGTAAGCTTCAGCTAGGAAAGTTACACTTTAATCAGATGTCTGTTGTTGGGTTTAATAGAGGGTAATTGAATGAAATTTTATGGTTAGTGATTTCTAAATGAGCAATCTAGATCTTTTGAGTGTGGTTTACTGGTCTTCTCTTTAATAAATCTAAAAAATGGAAGGAAAAACATGGATAACACTATTGCATTTTATATTCTCCTTAACTGAGGCTGAAATGTGCTGTGGACAGCAGGCTCTGTGAATAAAACTGCTACCTTGGCTTTCTTTCAAATACTACTAATATATGACTACATAAAGCTCATCTAGGTACCAACCCGAATTTCCTATTCCTTCAAGCCACATAAAAAATTAACCTCTGACTGCCTGTTAACCAAATTGCAATAAAGTCAAGTGAAACAAGTCCTGAAATGGAAGACACTTGAGCTTGTTGCTTTCTGGCTTATGTTGAAGAATAAGCAGAGATGCCTTGGGTAATTTTCTGTTTTCTTTCACCAGCAGAAATCTTCTTCCTCATTCATTTGTTGCTGCCATGCTTTAGAGGGTGCTCTCCATGCTGAGACTCTGTCCTGGTTCCTCTCTCTACTGCACCAGCTACCTGAGTCGTGGGCCCCAGGGTCTGTGGGGAGGCAAAGACCTTATCTAATGCCTCAGAACTGATGGGACAAAGGCAGTCACCAGCAATGCCCTCCCTTTCCTGTGTGTCCACATTATCCCAGGAATTGGCTTCCCCAGCTGCTATTACTAGGCAGATAGCCTGGTAATCTGCCTAGGAGAGGTAGAATGAATTGTGAAGAGGCCACTGGGTGAATGTAGGGTGAATGCCAAGATGGTGTTACCTGTTGCGTTCGGAAACGCAGAGCGTGAGTGAGAAGTGAGGCCATAAGAGGACGAGCAGAAGTGAAGCAATGGATGCTTAGAGGAACCTAGTACAGACCACTTCAGTATGGTCTGAGGCCAAGCCAATTAAGCCTGCTGAGAGAGATGAAATACAAAGACTGGATATATTAGCTTGGGCTTGGTGTAATGATAACGTGGTTACATTACTCTTTTCAGGCTGGGAGCAGGGGCAGAGCTGGCCTACATCTGCCACACTTTGTGTTGGAAACATGCCCAATCCAAACCTAAGCACAGGTGCATGTGCTTGGCCATCTTTGTGATGAGAAATCAGCAGCTGGGCACTGCTCAGAATGCATCACTTCCCATGTCCTGATCCAGCATGTCCATGGGAATGTGCTTTCAACCCATATTTTATGGATAAAGGGTTTTATGCCCAAGTGACTGAGAGCTTTGGGCCACACTATGTAGCAAAATAAGCTGTACCAAATCTTCAAAGTATTCTGCAATCAGGGATTGATCCAGATTATAGCCTAGCTGATGCATTGCTCATCTCTGTCCTGTTCCACGTGTTCTGTATTCAGCAAGGATGGGCACCCACATTAAAGGCTCTTCTGGGTTAAATCTGAAGCCCTGTCCTGCAGAAAACATTTGGTAAGTGGATTTCTTGCACACTCTCAGAACGACTGTAAGATCTGCAGGCTTTTGGCAAAAGTCCCAAAAGTGAATGCAGAGGTCATGTTTTATGTCAGGATTGACAGCTCACATCACACAACAAAACTTGATTTCTTCATGTTTTTCTCTCATTTCACAGATAACTAATTTTGTGGTAGAAATATCATACTGAAACCTGTTCTGCCTGTCAGCTGAGCTGCTCAGTCTCTGATTGCTGTATATCAGAGAATATAATAGCAGCCAGTCCCACATAAAATACACTGTTTATTGTCTATCAGAATAATATTTAAACCCAATAACATAATCTATTGTGAGGCACAAGGATTTCTGTGGCCTAGTTCTGCATCTCTTCTTTTGACAACTGATTTCAGTGTACTTGTGCTGGTGCAAATAAGATCAGATCTTTAGTGTAGAATGATTTGAAATGATGCAGTTTGTTCTTATATTTTTGCTCTTTGGCTGAGCTGTGTCTTTAGATGTGGGCTCCACTGCAAAGATGAGGCTGTGCCTGCACATGTTTTTATAACTAGGTTGTTTTGTGATACTGGCAGTCTTAAAATAGCTGAGCAATATGATATCCTCTCACATTCTTTTCTGAAGCTGATGCATATGTAGTGGGATCACATATTTTTTGTATATAATTTATCAGCGAAGCAGGGAAACTGTCTGAAAATAATCTCAAGTACACCTCCACCCACACAAAAAACCCCAAAAACCAACAAAAACCTCACACACCAAAACCCAATACAACAACAACAAAGCACAAACCCACAACAAAACAACACAAAAACAACAACAAAAAAACCACTCTGAAAAATAGGGATGTTCCATGGAAAAAAAGTCAGTTCTGAAAAAACCCCCGAAAACCTCACCTCACCTGATTTTCTTTTCCCCACTGGAAATATTAAACCAGGACTTCCCAACTCCATTTCTCCTGGATGATGAGGGTAGCCAGATCTCTCAAATGTGGGCAGGTCTCCGTTGCTGATACCTAGTAACACACCACTTGGCCCATGCTGCCAAATAGTGCAAGCTGCCACCCTTCATTTCCATGCTAAGGCAATTTACTCTGGTTTATGGCATGAAAATTTTCTTCATGAAATGTCTCAGTGAAAATGGCTACTTTTCTCCTCATTTATGGGGAGATATGTTATTTTCTAGAGAGCTGTCTGTAACCTGGTGAACTGCACCGCTCTAACAGATGTCTTTTACTCCTCGACAGCTGTGATTCTCACAACTGCTCCCCTAGATTTGGTCTCAACACGAAAGTGGAAAATACTCTTCAAGGCAGGGGGTTTGTGTTCTTGCTCTAAAGCACTTTTTGTAAAACCTTGCTTAAAAAGTAATGTTTTGGTTTGGTATACTAGGTGTAAAATGTTTGGGTAAACAGAGATATTCTTTTTTCATACTGTTCCTGCTGCCCACAAAGCACAACTGAGTTTATCCCCACATGTAGACAATTTCAGACTACCAGGATATTTTAGTTATGACATATGAATATATTCAATGATTGATTGTTTCACAGGCATTGAGTAACTGACTCAAAATTCACTTACTGCTAGAAATGAGCAGAGGCAACAAAGGACAAATGAAGTCTTTTGGCTATTAGCAGTAGCTACCTTTGGATGATGCTCTGTTTGCATATTGTAAAAAGTCTACTCTTTCTGATAACTTCATCTGGCAGTATGTGTCCTCAGAACTTGCTGTGAATATGGTGCTCAGTGTGCAAGAACACGTCCGTGAATCATTGGCCTGTGGCTGGCCTTTGGCAGCCAAGACACAAGAACAGGCTATGGGAACAGGAACTTTACAAGATAAAAGGGAACAAGACTACAATAGAGCTTGAGGGCCAGGCATGCTGCCAACTGCCCAGTCAAGGAGAGATAGAGGTCATGAAGACTATGATAGGAGGAAGTAACAACCTCCGAAGAGAGTAGCGACCCCCGGAGTGCTCCTGGCACAGGCATGCTCCAGTCCATCATCATGCTGCAAAAGTGCAGACGTGAAAATTTGGAAAACCCTCCTTCTGGCTTGTGATGGCCACATACACCAGCATGAGACTGCAAACTCCCCAGATAAAATGCCTGAGCCTGTGTGCTGGGACGAGGCACTCAGAACACTGAGGACCATGTTGCCTCTGCAGGGATGCCCGCTAAGTGTTTTGCCTGCCAAACCTCATCATGACGGGACTTGGAGCTGGACTCCTTGCCTTCCAAACACTTCTTCTGGGATTGGTATGTACCTTCTCAGCTTTGCACGGCTTTAGCTGAACATATCTGTAACAAATAGTAGCAGTTGCTTAATAAAGTAATATTTTCTTTGAACCTACCTGTGGGTGTGCCACTTTTCTTTATCCTGGAATTCTCAAACCCTAGAACACTCAGATATACTTAAAAATCACATTTTTTCAAACTTGTCAGAAGAAAACACTGGACAGGTGTCTTAAATAAAGGAGAGGGAGGAGTAATGGAAAAAGTCACATTGTGTTGTCTTTGCTTATACAGCAGAGCCTGTATAAATACTTAACTGAAGTTCCCCTTCTATGTTTTTGGGTAAAGAAAAAGTTGCAGGCAGCATGAGAGGAAGAGTATTTTCCTTTGTCCTGGCACTCTGGACATATAACAGTAGCACAGTCTTAGAGCAAGCATAGTACCTGCACCAGAGACTAGGTTTGCAAAAAAGTTTTGAGGGGCAGAACACCATATGTCCCCTCACATATCCTGTGAAGAATCAGCTCTACATAGAATTATACTGGTTTTATACCAAGTCTTTTATCATGCTTCAAAGTCAAAAGTTGCCAGTAGTCCATAAGGTCAAGTAAAATATCAATGTCCTTCCCTAATAATTGCATAACATTGTCATCACACATGTGGAATGAGATTTACTTCCAATTTAGTGTGGCTTTTGCTGGACAAGTTGTAAGTTCTAAGCAGTCAAAAATCTTCCATGAAAGAGCAATTTATCTGTAGGGAGTGTGCGATCAGCATGCCATCATGAACTACTTGCTTGCATTGACTGCCAGCAAGGCAAATAACCAGGTATGCCATCTATCAAAGCAAAGACATAAACCTGGAATGGAAATTTTATTACTTGAAAGGATGAGGGGGATAAAAGACTCTCAAGAAAAATGTGTGATGTAAAATTGAGAGACAGTTTACTGCTAAGAGTCGGTAGGGTCTTTAGAAAATATTACAGAGAACATAGAAACTGAAAAAAACCATTATTTTTATCTGAGGGCCTGATGGGCAATTTCAAACAAGGTTTCATTTTCTTTGAAGATTTATGGTACGTTTAAAGAGTAATTGGAGACTGAGGTGCACAGAAGCTTGGGTCTGTCTGTGATTAAGCAACAGCTGGGCCAAAGGAATGGCTTTTTCTAGAAGTCTGAAGGTAAACACAAAAGGCTTCTGAGAAGCCACTGGCATCCCAAGTACCACAAACCTGTAGTGGAGAATTGTGGCAGGCTTTTTTTGTCTTTGTTGCGGGTAATGGAAGAATGCTTTATAGACTATTTCTTAGCACTTTGCATGTAAAATAAAACATGAACAGGAATATTAACAGGAGTGGGACCTGGGTTATAGTGTTCATTCATCCTTAGCATTTATTTTGTGCTTCATCAGAAATAACACAGGAATAAAAATTCCTTTTGTGCTCTGCACCTGCTGAAGTGCAGGAGCTTGCCAGGTTGCTTCCATTTTGAGGAGCAACTGAGGGCCATGATGTTGGTCTGTGTCTTTGGTGTAACGCATTCTTACTACTTTGTTTTCTAAGAAATGGTATTTCCTTGATGTATTTGCTGCAGAGTAATTACAGAAAATTCACAACACACTTATTTTTCAAAGACCAAATGATTAGCATGAATGTTAAGAAAAGGATTTTCTTACTCTTAGTGATGTGAGGTGTTGACATCACTACAATATCATATCAATATGATATCAAGGCCATATTAATATAAAAGCAATATCATCCTAGTTCTTGTGCACTGCTGTTCCTTAATCTAAATATGCTGCTTGGCCCTGTTTTGCTTTGACTGTGCACAGCATATTTCTCTGTGAGCGACCTTGCCCAAAAGAGCTCACTGCAGTTTGGTAAAACTGGAGGCTGATTACTTCATCCTCTAATTCAGACATTTCCCAACAAGTGCTGCTGTCTCATAAGCATGCAAGAGAGACACAAAGGGCAGGGAGACTGCAGCCCCTGGGAGAGGGATGTATCAATTACTTTCAGTTCCTACCTTTCCCCCTGGCTATGCCTGGCTTAGGTGCAGCATTCATCCCTAGATGCAGCAGCTGTCCTGACCTCAAGCCATGCACCTGTATGCCCTTTCAGGGTGTTCCTCAGTGACAGTGCTCACATCCTGCACATACAGAGCACAATTGGCCTCTATGCTACACCAGAGAGTTTTGAAAGCTCTTTGCCAGCTGATGGTTGGAGATTAGCTGAGCTGCTTTGGCAACAGCTGGAGGTAGGGAGAACACGGCTGGGTGGTTTCCAGGGCTTACAAGACTCCTGGCCCTGGGAAGGGTTTGAGCTCTGGCTCTGCTGCCTCCTCTACCACAGAGAGTTATTGCAAAGGTTTGAAACTGGTGTCGTAAAAAATGTTCAGGCTTGGGAAAGAGTTTTGAGGTCAGACCTGAAAGGAGAGATAATGCCCTTTTCCCAAGACTGTTGCTTTCCCACAAGTGCCTTTAGATAACTATTTGATGCTGATGCTGATAAAATAATCAAGGTGTTAAAGGCAGGCGGCATTTGAGGATAAACCTGTCAGCTGATCTGTGAAGTGACTTCAGTTGAAAGCTGTGTCATGGTGGGGTGAGCTGTACAAACCATGCTCCAGAGCCAGCAAAACCCACCTTTTTGACACAGAGAAGTGTTAGAGTGATTCACAGGATCAGAAGTAGGTTGTGGCCTGAGAATTACTTTTTTAACCAAAGCTCTCAAAATGTGAGCTTGCCTCTTTGGAAAATCAGTGTGGATTGGTTTTTCACCTCTTCAAAACAGCTCATGATTTGATCTATTAATACCTGTGTGATTACAGGAAGAACAGTACTCTGGTTGGGGTTGCAGGAGCACTGAGCAGGGGTATCACCCCTTCCCTCAGTCAGTGCAGCCCAGCCAGCCTTCCCACCGTGGGGCACTGCCAGTACCCACTGTTGCCCTCCCCAAACTTGCTGCGGGTGTACTGCATCCCAGTGTCCAGGGCATAGGTATACTTTACTATTGCTAATCTTGACATTTGTTCTTTTATGTTTTTTTTTACTTCTAAAAACACCTAAATCTCCTAAATATTTAAAAATACAAGTAAAGCTTTTTTTTAAAAAAAAGGCTTAAAATTAAAGGCTATATCAAACTTTGATAGCTTCCCTGCAAGATATTTTTAAGTACTCAGTTTTAAGTCTCAGAGGTTTTCATTAAAATTTTGAGATAATAACATATCTCTGTGGTGGGTACTTCTTTATCTGTAGTACCTAGTGTATGGGATAAAATGGGATAAAATGCATGGGATAAAATTTTTATTATCACTATCTGTTTTGGGTTTACTTGTTTCTTCCCCCTGGAGCTGAAGATGGTTAGTTCCAGAGGCGGCTGCAGGTGAGGGGGTGGCCAGGGCTGGGACCGGGCCCCTGGCTGAGGCGTGCAGCAAAGCGCAAAAGAAATTCCAGCCACAGAGACGATGTTGCAGCCTGTGATGGTTTGGAGCTGGCTCCCTGCCAGGTCTCCAAACCTCACTGCAAGAGCTTCCCCCAAAAAAACAAGGGAAAAGAAAAAAAACCAAGAGAACCAAAATAAGAAAGAGCTAAAGCAGTATATAAATATATTTACGCTTATATTACATTTATATACAATTACAAAAACTATATACACATAAGGAAAAAAAACCGTAACACCTGAAAACAGAAAAGGGAAAGGGAAAAGGGACAAACCAAACAAAAAACCAAAACAGGTATACACACTCAATAAAGAACTAGTCAAAGAAAATCTTAATACTTTCCTTGAGATAGCACAATCGTGGCCAACCTCACTGCCAAGTACTAGACCCTGGATCGGCAGAAACAACAGGCCCTGTAGGCCCGACCAGGCCTCAGCTCCCCCACAACAAGGGAGACTGGCTGGGGGAGTCTGCTGTCTCCAAACCTCATGGGAAGAGAAAAGAGGAAGAGGCTTCTCTCTCTGTCTATTTATATGTTTGATTACATAAAGGAATAGGATGGAACACTTCCTTCCTTCCTTCCTGTTTGCCAGGAAGGAAGGAAGGAAGCGTTCCATCCTTCCTTCCTGGTTGCCAGGAAGGAAGGCCTACACTCAAAAGCATTACACAGCCAAGCCCATGTTGGAGCAGGTGAGTGCATGAAGGAGACAGTCATCCATGGGAGGCCTAAGAGGGAGTGAAGTCCTCTGGAGAATTTGCAACTCAGAGAGAGACAGAGAGAAGCCACGCTGAAGCAGGTTATTCTGGGTAGGACTTTAATGAAAACCATCGGGGTATAGAGACTGAGCCGAACCCCAGAATCTGCAACCCGAGGGAAGTGTAGACCCGATGTGGAGGGGTTGCCTGAGAACTTACTCCCTTTGGAGGGACCCTGCGGAGCAGGGAAATTCTCAGATCTTTAGATTCCCTGTAACCTGTGGTGAAGATCACGGTGAAGTAGGTTTGTCCCCCTGCAGCCCATGAAGGACCAGTGGGGGCACAGACCCTCCGCACCCCAATGGAGAGAGACTTTAGCTATTGCCCTGAGAGTAAAGAAGAGACTTCTCCTCCTGCACTGATGCAGGGGGGGCGAGGGGTGATTAGAAATTATATTTAAGACTGTTTATTTTATCAACATTCTTTGCAGCTTCTTTTTCACCTACTAGAACAAGTAAATCCTTGGAAATACATAGGATCATTGGAACTTCATCACAGGGAAAGTTGTTTAAAATTGTCTTATTTTATTATTCTTTAGTTCCTATCCTGTTAGCAATAAATTTTGATATCTTTCCTCATGTTGAGTCTGTCTTGCCTACGTGAACCTCTCTCACCTTTTAGCAATTCTGTGGGCGGGTTGAAAATCCAGCCAGAGTAAACCCAGGACAGAGTGGATGCATTAAGGAGACAGTCAACTGTGGGAGGCCTAACAGTCATTTGGAGAATTTGCAACTCTGAGAGAGAGAGAAGCCACACTGCAGCAGGTTAGAGTACAGCCTAAAGACAACCAGGGGAGGTGGAGTCCCAGAGTAAAATGCTGAGACTTGC